AGAATAAACCACACCAGAAATGACTGCCATCTGTCAGTCTAAAACAACTACTTCTTCGCGCAGACTGCGCCTTTTAAACTGCGCGAAAATGGCATTTCATTAGAGCCAGAATTGTTGATCACATATCATCTCTCTGACTTTTGCCAGCGATCTTCTGCTGGCGCACACAAGCCACGCGACCCACTGCAGAGTTTCGAGAATCCACGCACCTCACGGCGTTCCACCGAAAATCTCGAGGTTGACAAACCAATAGACTAACAGTCCACTTATTAATTCGCGATAAAAATATATATGAAAGTTGATATACATGTAATTCCGAGAGGTAAATAATGCACCTCTTCATTTTTCAAGACCCGAATAAACGTTCCAGTTCCAGATCGTTAAGTCTAAACCCCTGTGTCCAATTCGCTTAAACCGCATTGGGTTTGCCGTGCTCCGTGAATCACCCCAAGCCCGCATACTTGCAAGCGGTGCAGCGCCGCCTGCTCGAGCCCCCGCTTGCATTGGGGGCGCCGTTAGGTGCGGGCGGCTTTGCCGGGGGCGGGCGCGAGCGTTTGGTATGCATCGGCGCGAGGCGCTCGCAAAGCTGCCCGGCGGCCGTGGCGGCGGCGCGAGGAGGCGGCGGCGGCGGAATGTAAAGGAAGAGAACAGGGGAGGAGCAGGAGGAGCAGAGGTGAGCGCAAAACAGGAGAGTAAGAGAAAGGCGAAACAGGGGAGAAATAAATGGGACAGGGGTGAGGCGAACCGCTGGAGCGAGGCTCGGCGCGGGCAAGCTTGGGTGAGAGCATAAGACAACAAAAGATGAGCAGGGGCAGACGAAAGCAGGTGAAGAGCGGCAGTGGCGGAGTGAGTGAGGCGAGCAGCTAGGGCGAAGCGGCGTCATGGCAGACAAGAAAGTCGACAGGCGCGCGGGGTGACGGAAGCCGGCGGAACTGAACGCGAACCAGCACAAAGAGCAGGCGCTGGAGGCAAAACAGCAAGCGAGGTGACAGAGAAGCAGTCAAGATCAAACGCGCGGCAGGCGTAAGGCTGGCGCGCATGGGCAAGGTGCGGGCGGCGCAAAGTAGCACCCGCGCAGGGATAAGCCCGCAGTTGAGCGTCCGGCGCAAGAGCAAGTGGTGGTTGGGCGGGCAAAACAAGTGGCAAATAGGTGGCAGTGGCGGCGCGACTATGCGAACGGCGATGCGCGCGCCGGAACGGGCGAGGAGACGGTGATGACGGACGCGACTAACGACAGCGGGCTGGAGCGCGAAGCGAACAGGCCGGATGCCGTGAAGGCGGCGACGGGACGCCGCTGGCGCGCGAGGGCAGAGCACGCGCCGAGCGGCGCGTGGACGCGCGGGGCAGCCGGAGCGGAGCGCAAGCGAACGGGCGTTGACTATCGCCCAAACACCCTTGCCTACCGGCCAGGCCGCAAGCCTGCCCGTCGCCGGAAGCAAAGCGCTGCAGGCCAAGCGAGACTGCCGCCACCACGCAAGGACTTGGCCCGAAGGGAGATGCGAAACACAGACCCTTCTCTATCGATTACCGACGCCCGCGTTAAAGTTACATCGTGCTGAATGATCTAAAGGAGCGGCGTGTGCTTTGTGGTTTTGTGGGCGAGATATGCGAGTGGGATGGTTTTGGTGGATGCGCTTTTCTGCGTAATAAAATATGCAAATCATCTCTCTCGGTCGGGGCATTTTGAAGCAATACTTCGGCCAAAGATTCAAATCTTGACAGTAATATATTATTCAGAATACTAGTGAATTAAAATATTAATTAGTCGACAAATATTCGCCACTTTCTTCAATTATTTCTTTTTATCTGCTGGAAACGGGATGAAGAATTGTATTTTGTATTTTAGAGCCGGATTAATCCGACTTTTGCTAGCTAGTGGTGTTTGACGTAGGCCCTGCTTTTATTTATTATCCGCTGAGGGTAACAAAGATGTTATCATCCCCATATCTAGCATTCTTGGCCTATCTGAGGTTTTTTTCTTTCGACACTACAAAAACTGAGACGATTTTATTACGAAGCAGCAGCTCTAACTCTTGCCCCGACCGGAATCAATCTAGGATCACACCACGAAAAGCTATCCCACTGCTCATGGACTACTA